CTTTACACAATAAGAGCGAGAACAGTGAAAAACAACTTTATTTAAATCCATAATTTAAAGAGCAACAATCTATATAGAAAGCATGCAAAAGTCTGATGCACACAAGGTCTTTGCCATTCATACATGATCTATGCTGCGTTCACCAATCCGAATACTAATAGTTTAGCAAAAAAGAAACATAAGACAAAAATCTGGATGAAGAACATATCGAAGATGCATAGTATTTTGAAACCTTCAATCACGTCCACTCTAGCATTTTTACAATACAGCCATAAACGGTCGACCTATTACAATAGGTCGACCTCACATTTCTTGAAAAATAGACGCGAATGTAGGCGGACTTATCCGACGGTCGCATGAGTTATGTGACGGTCGCCTAAGGCTTAAGGCATACCTCGATTTGCCAGATCAAATCGATACATCCACACGACTTGACGATTTGCCAGATCTCTACAGATTGACCGTGCGTATGTCTCAACTGCATAGGCGTGTAGCTTCCGTAAGTTGTAGCAAACCTATCAACTCTGGCCCATACAAAGCGCGATTACGAACAGCGACCAGTTATGAAGTGTCGCTGCAGCATCAGATCGCGCGGCGACTGGAATCGCGTGAGGTATGCCTTAGGCCTAACGTTTGGACATCACAGTCGCGTGGCCATATCTCGCTTCAGAGTTGACAGATTCTGAATCCAAAGCACTATTCGATTCAGCTCGGCGCGAAGCATCTTCTGATTTATTGAAATTCGGGTACGATTTCTTTGATATTCCGTTTCCAGTTTTTGGATTATCGTGCAATAAAGAATAGCCCCAGACTCCTTTCAAAAGAGTGAGAAGCTTTGGTAAATTATGGAAATATTACTAGTTTTCAAATTGTACCGCCGTGACTTCCTTCGGAAGCAGTTTACTTGAATTCAAAAAAAGTGCCGTGCTCAGCTCATCAAGGCGAAACTTTCGATATACAGCACGTCCTTGATATTGATTTTAGAATCCTTAAATTCTTTTGCGCAAGACTCTTCGCAAATGTGCGAAGTAGCGCGCAGTGCCCCTAGTAGATTCTAGCAAAGACCGTCCGATAGCTCTTTCTTTGTAGATTATGGAATGCTAAAAAGCAAAGGCAGACTTCCTTCCAAAGAAGATAGAAGGGCTAGTGATTTGTGGAAAAATCTTGTCGTCCCATATTCTACTCGCCACAGCCCTAGAATGCGAAGCTATCTTGCTAAGCAGTTATGAGTTTCGTTATTAAGGTCAGATAACTATGAGCGAGTTTTCAAAGAACTTCGGGTTGTTTAATTTCTTCTCGTTTCACGCTCTGAAACTCGCCCATGGATTTTGGTCAAAGTGTTGGTGATCTCGGATTGTACGAAACCTCGCTTATAGAGGTTTTCGGACACGCTGTTTATGAAAATAGCGGTCTCTGTCGAGCACAGGGTTTTTCTGCAGAGATATGGTGAGGTAATCGTAACGGAGTCACGGAAGCTCGTAACTTCGCCTGCACCTCTCGCATATCTGTCAGGGAACGCCTGACAGATACGCGAGAGGTGCCTGCTTTCTTTTGTAAATCAAAGTTATTAAGAACTGTGCCATCGAATGGTGGATGTCTCAGACTCCATTTCGTAATAATTGTCGAGCCTATGTAAACAGGTTCTCATGTATTTTGCCCAAAATGTAAAGATCGCATACTTCGTCGATATTCTACCGTGAGTGCTTATACAACACGCTCAAATGTTTTCGCTCCTCAACTGATCTTATTATGTTACATTTGTTAGTTTGAGAACGTTTGATGTATGTTAGTTGGTTTGTAGTTTGTACTTTTTGATTTGATGTATCATAAGATGCATCTCAACGCTGATTCCAAATTTGCAGCAGCTCTTTGCGAAGGGATCTGCTGAGAAGCTATAAAGGTTTTTTAAGAATAAAATTTTGTTTTTTAGACAGTTAAATTCACCAGTTTTGGCCTAGTTTACAGTCGGTGCTATGAAGATAGTCCTAGACAGATTGACTGATTCAAATTTAGCAGCTGAAAAGGCAAGAAAATCTTGTATTGCTGGTTTTTACCCTCCACATTTGTGCAGATCATTGAAATAATCATAGCTCCATTTGAGTTATCATTTCGGAAATTTGGAAGAAAGGAATTTTGAACCAGCATTTGAAGGCATATTATAATACTAATGTATACCTCAGTGAATGGCATGTACACCTCAGTGAATGGCGACATCTTCTCATGTAGATGCCATAAACATCTGTCCAAGCTCTTTTCATGGTTATTATTTGGTTCTCCCAAAAATTCTGTCGTTTCATTTTTGATAAGTTGTAAGTGCTCGCTATCTCAACAAATTTGTTTTTTTCTTTCATTTTATTAGAAAGAAAAAAACTTATTATCTGAAAATGCGTGTTCACGAGATTCTACTATATGCTTTCATTGCAGGAAAAAAATGGATACAGAAGATCATTTGAGCTTTTACCATTTTGTGTTAGCATCAAAAAAATTTGGAACGTTGCAGAAAAATCTGCAACTGTCAGTACAAAAATTTCGTGACTTACTCTTTGCAACGAGAAAAGGTTTGTGCCATTTGTACATCTCTGCGAGAAGTTATATTTTTCGAGTTTAAACAAGAGGCCAGAATTAATTTGCCGATTTTCTCGAGAATCATAACTATTCAGAGAGACTATAAACAGCGCAATGTTTTTTCCAATTGCAAAGAGTAGGTTTTAACACGTACTGACGGTTTCAGATTTTTCCGCAACTTTCGATCTCTTTCTGGCGACCTCACTCAAAGCAAGCAAAGCAACCTCTTTTTCATTTTTATCTCCGCTTAGAGTGCATAGGAAAAGCTTTTTGAGATATATTTACAAAGGAAAAGGCCTTTCTTTTTCAATAAAATCATAAAGAAGCAAATCTGACGAGATGGCGAATAGTCACAAAGTTTCAAGAATAAAACGAAAGATTTTTCGGGACAATTCATAGCTTGACTTAAATTTCGCCAGTTTGCAGAACACTACTTACTACTAGAAGCGCACCCTGGTCATCTGTTAGAACAAAGCAAGCTCCACAGGATGGTGCCTAAATATTCGCACAACTTCTCATTTTCCTCGAAATGCAAAACATGCAACCTGAGACAACCTTTTAAGAAAAGAGCTAACAGTCGATGCATTATTTGGGACATCGTATGCCCGTAGAAATACTAGAGAAAGCTTGAGCATCTTAATACAAACATGCAGTCTTAAGAAAGGAGCGGGAGGATAGGTTTCAAGCTTTTGCATAGCTTTTCCGAGCACGGGCGTAAAAAAATTCAAATCCGTCAATCAACGAACTTATCTAGGGTGTTAGGGTCTTGCCAATACATGGAGTCACAAAGCAGTGCGGTTATTATTTCCGGTATGTTTTTTTATTTATTATTTATATTTTATCAAATCATGTCGAAAAGCATTAGCTTCACACCTGAAACTCCAAATAAAGCTAAGAATGAGCTTAAAGCTTGCGTTGTTGCAAGCATTAGTACATTAGGTTGTTCTAAGGACTTCTTCAAAACAACTGTGTCCGAAAAATGATGCCTTGCTGTAGCATCACTTACATTACCCACTAATGCTTGACTTGCATTATCGTGCAAAAGATTTTTGAAGATTTTAATACACATTGATGGAACAAGGAGCAGAGGTGTACATTTCTAAAGGCTCATACAAGGGAGAATCATAACTCCTGCAATAACCAATCTACCTTTTGTATGTGATGTATGAGGTTGAAGCAAAAATGATGGCCGTTTTGCGAATTCTCACTTCGACCTGTTATAACTTTCTGGAGAATCTAATTCAAATGCGATGAGAAACAATAGAAGTACCAAATCTTTTGGAATACAGAGCATAGTCTGCGTACATCTCATACGCAAAGTGAATATGAATAGTAAACAAAACTGTTTTTTGTAGGACCTTGCTTTTAACAACTCATAATTCCTTCAGAGTTTCCTACTGTTAATGACAAGTAGCCTTCTTGTAGCCGGAAGTCAGTAGTACAAATGACGGTGAAAAGGGTCTGGACAAAAAAAATTGCGTAAAGAAACAAATTAAAATCCAAAATCGTCGGTTTTTTGCAAAACAATTGTAAGTAAGCCTCAAAGTTTCGAATTACAGAAATTTCGATTTTCTGCGTACTCGACAGCAGAATGTATTAGCAAAAACCAACAGGATGAACCTACCCTTACGCTTACAGAAATGAGCGTACTTGACTAACATCTATGTGAAGACACAGATGCTCACATTCTGTTGTACTTGGAAGGCAAATTTGACAGAGACACACAATTAACCTACTGCGCATTATTTTGCAAATAAAACACTGCCGTGGGTTTTAAGGCTAAAAACAGTCGCCGTTTTTTGATAAAAGTTGAACACTCTATAAGCATGTCACATATGAAAACTAAACGTTTTGGTTATTTTTTGTGCTATAAGAACTCCCTTGCGTGAGCTAACATCAATTTCCGATTCTGGCTGATTACGCTTTTTTAACAGACAAATCAGTGTATCGACTTCATACGGCTGTGTTATTTGAGATTTGGTGTTGTGATTAAGCAGCAGTAGTCGTATATAAACTTGGAAAAATCTACTTTTTTTAGACGATATTTCGACAGGAAAAAAATAAATCTGAACTAGGACATTTGAAACCAAGGAGGCCTCCCATATAACTTCAAAGCTACTTGAAAGCACAGTCGTCGTTGTCCTGTCATAATTTGCTAATTACGAACAAGGAATTGTATATGAGTGCTCATTGCATGACACTGTGAAGTAAATTTGGCTTCATGAAATTAGGCCTAGAAAAACTGGAGAGAAATCTTTTTATTGATTAGTAAGTGAGAGCAAGCAATTGTGTGCTGCGTCACTACGAAGCATAGCGCTTTTTTGGAGCTATCTGAGAAGAAAAAGTCCGAGGGTTTTGAAAGTTCTCGTCGTTCGTGCATAGTCAACGCTGCTTCTTTATTCTGGACATATTGTAACTACATAGAAAGAATTAAGTCAAGAGTTGCAATCAAACTTACCGAAAAGACACAATATCCTCACTCCTCCGAAATTTTCATATCCATCTCCTCGTATTCCGCAGCCGTAGAAGCTTACTTCTCCGCATCCCTGCAGGCAAAGCAATGGTTGAAGTATCTGTGGTGTGATGCGAAGACTACCTCTAGTGTAGAAATAACATTATCGTTCTGAGTCATGACAATTCGACCCACTCCCTCATCGCTTTCTTCTTTTTCTGAAAGAGTCCTGGAAAGGGACAATAAAAAATTGTGAAGAGCTTGCATTCTCAGCAAAGCCTCACCCCTGTAAATTTACGTGGCAATCCCTTATGGCAAAAGCTGGGTTCTGCACCTGCTCTATTTGATACTCCATAGCTCTCTTCTCTAGTGTGCAATTATAGGTCTGAAAAAATGACGTAAATATAGAAAAAATCAGCGAACGCTCAATATGATCTGATCTTACTGTATGATGGTTATCAAGAAGGTCGAGCACGTCGCAGATTTCTTGTGCCAGTCTCCAAAGCAAACTCTGGTAAGGGTATGCGTTCCACGGCAATCCTTCTATGCATGGCACGATGTCTCCTGCAATAGATTACTTCTAATTCAAATAAGAAAGTGTAGTATGCATTCTTGTTTCGTACTGCAGTATACATTATCATAATCATATTTTTCTTCTTCTTCTTCTACTACTGTTTCTAATGCTTTTCTTTCTCCATCTCGATTCCATCCCCCCTGTACATGTTCTCCAGTAGACCGCTGATCGAGGGACTGTTCACGTTCCATCTGATATCTTCCATCCGCAGCAACAAAGACCTCCAAAAAATTTCATTGGGGGGGGGGGGGGACCGAAGGAGAATCTGGGGAATAGCTTACCGCTAATAACGAAAGTGCTGCAAGAAGCAGATGCATGACCAAAAGGAATTGCTGACAGTGGAACGCTGGGGACTTTTATGTGCCAGAGACATGAAAGTAAGGTGGCGAGGCTTGCAAACTCAATAGCAATCCATTATTGTATTTATCCTATTGTTACACTAAACAGCTCTTCTGCTAGTGGTAGAGCAATGTTCGAATGAAGTACTCTGCCAGCACGTACTTTTGTTTATCCACCGAATTTGTACATGCAGTATTCTCCATCATAAAACAATGCATTAAAAATAACCACACGCGATTTATCAGTTTCTGCCTTATTCACACAGGATAGATTGAAATTTACCCGAACTCGGTTGTAAATAAAGGCAGTTGAGTCTCTTACTTACAGTGTTCACTGAATGACCGTAGTTTCATTTTTCCTTCTTGAGTATATATTCTCGGTAATGGTAAAATGGCTGTCCTTGAGCAACTGCTTCTGTGTATATAATATCCAAGTATCATATTGTATCCTATTCCATTACTCAAAATATTTGGCTTTTGTTTTTACGTTTCTTGAGTGAGGAACATCGACAAAGAAAAATTCACTACATAATTGCACATCTTTTGTCAATATACAACTTCTCCTTTCAACTGACTGCCAATGCCAAATCCCTAGAATCTGCGAAGCAAGACATTTTCGCGAAATTTCTCAATCTCGCCTAGCATGGTGAGTGCTCTCCAGTTTCAAATTTTGAGATAACACCATTGATGGACTTGCACACGCAATCTGTCCTCTCTGCCACTGCTGTGTTTTCCTTGAAATTTTTCTCCAGCTGCTTCCAAATGTTCCCCTTCAAAGTTAAGAGCATGTACAAATTACGTATGTACAAATTGCCAAATATATCCAAAAACTTGCAAAATAAATTGTCATTAGTTTCGAAAGTAAGAAATCCTTTGACGGGGTATTCGCTCGCGTCTCAGTATTTCCGAGCTTGCTCGCTGTATTTTGGTTGCTCTGGAGGACAACAAGTTCTAGAAAGGCTTGAAAATTGCCACTTTCAAAATCAAATGTTATAATGAAGTCAATTAACCTTCGAACATTTATTAAGAGCATCAGAAGGCCTCAATGCGTGTTAATTGAGTTAAAATAGATTTTGTAAAAAATTCTCATGTGATGCACGAACTTATAACTTATTACACAACTGAACTTAATTGACCCCTCTACTAGGGTCGTTCATTCATTTCGCAAAAGAGACAAGCATTTTGAGTCTCAAGCTTCAATGACGAAAATAGCTCACCTGTGCGATCAGTTTGCTGTGATGCACGGGTTCCATTGTTCTCACTTATTTGGAAAGTGAAGATGATAGTACACACAATTTCGTTGTAAAATCTAACAATGATAGAATCCTAGTCGTTTCAATTACCACAAGCATCACAACATACAGTCATATGTTGTCCAGTACTGTATTGTAATTTTGTAATTAGCTGCGCCGTGCTCTGTATACACAACATTTCGAGTACAAATTATGTTTCCAAATAAAATCAACCATTTGCTCCATTTGATTGTTTTCATTTGAGATCTGCTGAAACTTTTATAGGGTAGTCAAAAAAAGTGCGCTAAGTTTTAGCTTTCGTACCATACCTTCGATACATAGAGCTCTGGTAGCCCTCGCCTTGAGCGCCATGATAGCAAAACCTTCACTTGGAGAAAAGAACAAAAGTCGTTGTAGCAAAGCCCGGATATTGTGTCCTAACCATAATATGTATAGGAGTGAATGGTAATAATTATAACATAAGGAGTGAATGTGAATGAGGCAAGTACAGCGAGTGATATCTAAAAAAGCTCGAAAACCGAAAGATGGCGTTTTTGTAGTTTTGATGGAAAGAAGGTTTTTTATCAAAAATTCCCCCACAGTTCAAGACGACAAGTCTCGATTAACCTTGTTCCAGACTGAGAGTGAGTGTTAGAAGCAGGGCCCAGAACGAGGTGGCATCTGAGAATCTGGGAACGAAGTCTTCTTTGACACTGCAGAAATTCACGAACAAGCTCTTGTGGATTTGCGGAAGTATGGCTTTGAATCTACAGCGAACGATGAGTGGATAAAATTGAGAAACAACAAAAAAATTAGGGATAAAACAATAAAAAGCGAAAAAGAAGAAGGCTTTTTATATCGTCAAGTGCCGTAGCAAAACAGAGGGTTCGAAACTCGTAAAGTGATTAATGATAGATAAAGCTCAAACTGAACAGTAGACTTATGTAAGAATTTTTGGAAAATTATGTGAGGAAGTGGGTAAATAATGACTTTGTTTGGTCTCGCGCAACCTCAGGGTGTTCCCAGGTTGCTCTGGAGCAACCTAGAATGAAAAAACACCTACAACTTCCTTCTTACACATAATTTTTTCATAAATTCTCACACTTATCTTCTCTTCATCGTTGCGAAGCTATACAAAAAGTTTGATGGCTCTGTATTGCTTAGTCGCTGTAAACAAACTTATTGTTTATTTTTTTGTCGATAAAGTTTATGTTTTAACAAGATGGGAATTGTGTGAACACAAGTTGGTGCACTGATCGTGTTTGCAACATGTTATTTGACTGTTAGTGGTTGAATGACGTTAGAACCTCAAATTCGGGTTTACTATGTGCAAGAATTGTTCTTGCTATCCTATCAGATCCGGATCCCCCTTAAAAACTTTATGATTTTCCTTTTGCTTCTCCCCCACAGAACGATATTCTGCAAGTGTAAGAGCCACCTCTGCTAGCCCTGGTTAGAAGTTTACGACAGCTGTTGGAGTTCAGCAAAAACGAGAAACTGCGCTTAAATCCAGCGCCGAGAGTCGCCACTTGAATGCTGGTTTATCTCGTTATGGAGTGATTATCAACAACCGCGACTTTGTCGTTGCTCTAGGCTATGTCATGAGGATCCGATATATAATGTTGCAGTTTGTTAGAACCCCGCGGAAACCTATGACCAGCGCCAAATGCCCCGTCAGCTCCGGTCTGTCTCCGCTGCTGTCTGCGTCTCCGCACGTCGCACGCTATCTCGCTACGTTAAACGAGGGACACGGGGGATTTGGTTTTGGTACCCTTTTCTTCATTCTAAGCCCAATTACGGTAAATTATACATCGTATCAAAGCTCTTGATATTTACTTTCACGCTGACAATGTCGCAAGACCTTTTTACTTGACTTGAACGAGAAATCTGGAGAAAAACGGTTTCGGAAGCCTCTGGTTTTCTCTTGAATTCAGTTCTTTTCACTCGGTTTTTATTGTGTGTTCGATCAATCTTGCTTCTGTCATTGAGTAGACAACAGCGCAGAACCTATTTCTTTGCACATGCCGATTTTTTTTGCGAAGATTGGTAAAAAGTGCGTTTTTCTATGGTTCTCTTTCAGTGCTTCCGCAATCATTTTTTTCCAACTTGGACGATACTTGCTCAGAATGATGAGTGGAAGAATCAGACAACGTCGCAGGATACAGGAGCGACAATGAGGGGGTGAAAATTTATAGGAAGCATAAAAAGTCAGATTGGTATCGTTGCGTAACATATCTTTTCAGAAACGAGAATACGTGTTTGACATGTTTAGTTTGGTTGTTGACAAGTTCTTCTTCTTTCGGTCTATTGACTATCGCCACAGCTAAATAGCGTGTTTTCCAGATTGGAAAAGAACTTTGTTCTTGCTGCCACCCAATTCATCCGACAGTCTTAAAGAAGAAACTTGTGCGTAGAAAACCATCATGATTAAGGCTTCATACTTGGTATTGTGCTCACCTCTGCTTTCTATGAATTTTTCCCGTTTCCTGATTTGCTTCATATCTCTTAATTTCCATTATTTTTCTCAAACATCCTTCACTTTTTACAGCGGGCAGGAACTCAAACAACTATCACTTTCTAGACTCTATCTCTTGATAATCGAAGGTATGTTTTGTACCATCACATGTTCAGGGTATATCATCGCTCCAACTCCCTCTCTCAAAGGCAGTATGAAGCACAGTGGAACCAAACAATCCACAACTTCTTCAGTTTTTTCCGACAAATGAGCATATAAATGAACGTATCGCCGCGATCGGATACGGTATCATCGCATGATATGTTTTGAGACTTTGAACTTTTTATTGTAATGTTTCTGTTATGTATACAGCTTGTGCGGCAGTCCTTGAGATGCAAACGGCAGCGGCCGCTCGTGTTCAGTCAGTCGTTTCTCTCCTCTTTTGTCGACATTGTTTTCAATTTATGCCTCTCATCTGCTGTCCATTTCGGATTGCGCGCCAAAAAGAACTCTGGAGACAATTTCTACTCAACACACTTTTCAACAATTTTCTTGTGGTCAATTGCGCTGAAAAATGCCTACGCACTTCCTTGCAAACACACTTCCTGTTTTTGGTTGCTTAACAGTAAAGTGCGCTTGTATCATTCATTTGCGTTATATTTTGGTATTTTCTGTGCCTAATTGCCATATCACAGTGCTTTATCTTTGTCATACATTTATTCGTATTTGTTGCATTCAAGTATTTTGTATGAGGGTTTAATTACCCAAGTTTGAGGTAAACGTGCGCAAAGTGGTGTTGTGTGGGGTCTTCCTGGTTGTCAGTGCAACAATACCGCGTGGCATTTGCGAGCACAAATCCGATTCATGGTGCATCGTCTAACAAAAGGACAGAACCGCAGAGGTACGATTTGAATCCTCGCCATAGCATAGCGCCGAATTGTAATCATTGCACATCTGATTTTAAAATTACAGAAAATTACAAATTACAATTACATTGCACGACTATCTGGTAACGGTTAAATGGATCGATAATGGACGCATTACTACCATCTCAACTCTTAGCTGCTCTTGATTTCTATAGGAATATTGACTGCATGATTTGCGACAAGCTACTGTTCAACCCTGAGTGTTGGCCAAAAGGAGCTATCTTTCTCATAGCCTTCATT